TTAAAATGGTGCTTACTGAGCACAAGCCCCAGTTGGTGGTACCGTTTCCTCAGCCACTTAACTCTAGCATAACCCCTGTTTATTTGTCTCTGTTTGAACTTGTTCCCAAAGCCATGCGTGCGCAGGAAATGCAGCGTGTGGGGACACTTTTCTTTTTCAGTTGGGAAAGCAGCACTTTTAAGCTTTGCTGAGATGTTAGAAAGCTGAAAACTAGACGATATTAAAGTTTAGAGACCAACTTTTGGCTTGAGAACATTTTAAAAGCTGTTCAGTTGAATCCATTTTAAAATTGGACGCTAAAAACAATCAGTCAATGTTACAGAATGTTTTAGAATGTTTTCTATGTTTTAGAATTAGCATGTTAATGTGTTGCATATGTTCTGGTCTGTTTTAGCCCTACTGAAAAAACAACTTAAACCAACCTAGGTTGGTTAGCTGTTTTTAGCTGATCAAACAGCTTGGTTTTAGAGGGGTTCGTGCCATTTCCAGGCTGGTTTCCAGCCATATGACTGAGCTGGTCTGGCCAGGAGATGACCAGCTAAAACCAGCTTGAACAGCCTAGCCAGGCTGAGTGCCCAGCCAAAACCAGCTATATCCAGCTTAAATCAGGCTGGTCAAGCTGGTTTTAGCCGGTCAGACTGGAAAAGGCTGCAAACCTGCAAAACCCCTTTAAAACCAGGCTGGTCTTCCAGCTAAAACCAGCCAACCAGCCTAGGCTGGTTTAGGCTGGATTTTTCAGCAGGGTAATGTCAGTATTGGTGAATAACTGCTCAAACTGCATGCTTTAGAGGAGAGTGTGAGACAACATAGCAACCATCTGATGCCCTAGCAACACCCTGGCATCCACTCCTAAAACGCCCTGGACATGCCCTGGCATGCAGCCGGATTTCACAGAGGTGGCCAGACGGGGACCTGCAACCAGACTAGGTTGGCAGAGAAAAATTCTCCCAATTTTAATTAGAAATGAGCTTCCATATAAAGCCATGGACTGTTTCTGTGCCTACTGAATAGCAGTGTGCTTTTATTTCATTATAAATGAGATGACGGTGGAATATAATGTAAAGAGAAAGTTCTAGATCTGCACAATTCTTGCAAAGACGTAAAGAAAAACGAACAGGGCTCCACATGTGCTAAATTCCACAGATTCTGGCAACAGCACCTGACGTTGTCTGTTAGAAATGTACATTAGACAGTAGTTGAGGTTGAGGGTAGCAGTCGTGCGAGTTCGGATGCATCTGTACATTTAGTTTCATTAAGAAAAACAGTAGCATCTGTAAACATTGTGACAGCTCAATTATATTCACTTGCTGATCACTATGCCCACTGGACTACAACTTCACTACCATAGTCCAAAAAGAAGCATAACTTTATGCTTACCTTAGCATAAACACCCTGAAAACCCCAACAATGCTCTAATAACAGTCATGAACACCCTAGAAAATGCTCTAGTAACCTCCCAGAACACCCTAGCGACTCTTTTTTAACAGTCATGAACACCTTAGCAATGCTCTAGTAAGCATCCTGAAAACCCAAGCAATGGCCTAACATTTATGAATACCCTAGCAACAGTATAGTAAACATCCTAAACACCCTAGCAATGCTCTAATAACAGCCATGAAGACTTTAGCAATGGTTTTGTAAACACACTGAGCAAGCAATGCTTTAGAAACAGCCGTGAATATACTAGAAATGATCCAGTAAGCCTGCCAAACACCCTAGCATTGCTCTAGTAACAGCCATGAACACCCTAGCTACCGTATAGTAAACATCCTAAACACACTAGCAATGCTAACAGCCATGAAGACTTTATGGTTTTGTAAACACGCTGAGCAAGCAATGCTTTAGAAACAGCTATGAACATACTAGAAATGATTTAGTAAGCCTCCAGGACACCCTAGCATTGCTCTAGTAAACACCACAGCAATGGTCTACCCTACTGAAAAAAACAGCTTAAAGCAGCCTAGGCTGGTTGGCTGGTTTTAGCTGGAAGACCAGCCTGGTTTTAGAGGGGTTTTGGCCATTTTCAGACTGGTCTTAGTTGGTCAGGCTGGGAGATGACCAGCTTAATTAGCTTGACCAGCCTAGCCAGGATTGGAGCCCAGCCAAAACCAGCTATGTCCAGCTTAGACCACGCTGGTCAAGCTGCTTTTAGTTGGTTATTTTCCAGCCTGACCAGCTAAGACCAGACTGGAAATGGCCAAAACCCCTTTAAAACCCGGCTGGTCAACCAGCTTAGACCAGCCAACCTGCTTTAAGCTGTTTTTTTTTCAGCATGGTAGCAACAGCCATGAACAGTCTAGCAACAACAACAGTCTTATAAACATCCTGAACACCAAACAATGCCCCAGTAACAGATATGAACACCCTAGCAACAGTCTAATAAACATCCTGAACACCAAACAATGCCCTAGTAACAGCTATGAACACCCTAGCAACAGTCTAATAAACATCCTGAACACCGAAGCAATGCCCTAGTAACAGCTATGAACACCCTAGCAGCAGTCTAATAAACATCCTCAACACCAAACAATGCTCTAGTAACAGATATGAACACCCTAGCAACAGTCTAATTAGCATCCTCAACACCAAACAATGCTCTAGTAACAGCTATGAACACCCTAGCAACAGTCTAATAAACATCCTGAACACCAAACAATGCCCTAGTAACAGCTATGAACACCCTAGCAACAGTCTAATTAACATCCTGAACACCAAAAAATGCCCTAGTAACAGCTATGAACACCCTAGCAACACTCTAATAAACATCCTGAACACCGAAGCAATGCTCTAGTAACAGCTATGAACACCCTAGCAACAGTCTAATAAACATCCTGAACACCAAACAGTGCTCTAGTAACAGCTATGAACACCCTAGCAACAGTCTTATAAACAT